TGTGTACGACAACAAACGAGCAGCTAAAGTAGCTCTCGGTGTATTGGACATCGACGAAGGTTGAGCGATGTCAAGTAAATTTTAACACGCAATTAGTAACCCGTCGGACACCTTGGCACCGATCGACTGGGTGTTTCAGGGACGCGTGCCCGCAACCACCCGGCAAATTCCGATGTACACCCGCACAGCAACAGAGGGTTCAAATCGAACTCGGATATTTCGGGGGAGGTCGCGAATACTTTTATTGGTCGATGCTTAACGCGCTTTTTTTCATAATAGGCCTTTGGGTAACAAATGTCGATCATTGTTTTTGCACACGCAATCTGCGGGTTACGAACCGTATAGACAGAGTATAACGAAATTTTTATACTTTTGTTCTAATTTTTTTCAATCAAATTTTTTAATAGCCTCTGTTTATTTTTGGCACAGCTTTGCGCAAAAAATATTGAAGCATAGGTACTGCGTGTTACTCGATTTGAAACATGTTAATTATGATAAGTACACAAAATATACAAATTCCAATCGTAGTGATTCCAAAACAGAAACATTAAAATGTAATAATTTAATGGTAGTGTTCATGTTCATGTTGATTGTTCATGTAAATTCTGTTTACTGTTTGCAACAAATCAATCACGAACCAATACACCAACACGGAAATGTTGAAGTAATTATGTTAATTAAAAAATACGAGTGATATCGTACTTAACGTTTCGTGTTGTTAGTGGCTTCACGTCCATATTAGCATCATCGTAGGTTATCTACGCCGTAGGTGGATAGCCATATAATTATAATAATACATGACATATTTTAGTACGGCACGATACATGGTGATTCTGTCGCTAAGCGGTCGGAACAATATCGTCGGTGTAATGGTGTCATAGCGTTTTGTGCGCTATGCTTAAATGGTAGTGAGTTCAATTTGGTAGTAGGGCGTTGTTGTCTTATGGATGGAAACGGTGCGAGAGTTTCCAAGAGTAGGTATACCGCACCTCGGCCTGCCGGCGCCGGTCCGTACAATAATCCGGGTGGCAACAGTACAAGCGTGACGTCGCGCACTCACCTTGACTCACTTTAGTCGGCCCGTTTGCATTACACTGTTTGCTCGACGTGTACTCGTGATTAGTCTAGAGAAAGAGGCTTGTATATGGCATTTTCAACCTTATATGAACGCCCGTTTTCCTTATAAATAAACAAATATGGCAAAAATTGATTAGATGAAGTTTTTGACTCAATCGTTTTGGTAGAGAATGATCAAATCGGCATCAGCTATTATTTAATGTAGAGGAACACTTTCTATGAAACTAAGAGCCGGTATGAATGGGCGATATCGCAATTAATTGCAAGCAGATAACTCGAACAGCTGATGCTCTGCCATTCGTGTCGTATCAACACGATCATGTTCATGGGGCGAAAGCGTGGCTCGTGACGCGGGGTTTTTACACAAATTCCATGTGCGTACAGATGGGAAATTGTTACACACGTTGCAATGCAATCGAACTTGAGAATAAAATTTTTGTTCACTACCATCACTGCTCCCTCAGACATAAGTCAGTGATGCACATCTGGATTCAGATGAACTATGGACTTTGATCTTTCGGTTGCATTATAACAGAGATGAAGCAATCCTGTTGATAAAATATCGATTCCAAAAATCACTGTACATCTATCTAATCGTAGTTCGGTTTCGATCAGTCTAGACTACCGAGTAGATAACGATAAAAAAGAAGGCAACCGCACGGGTTAACTGTACAGTGATTTCGATCTTAAAGCGGTGCCTATCTCCTTGACTCGATTCGTATTGGCATCGACGGGTCGGGGCGTTGCGAAATTCGCCCACAGGCCGCAGGCGTTAGTCATTGTCGCCTATTGCATCCAGTGCAGGCAGACAGGCGTTGCTTCACACAACGTTATATGCTCCATTTGAGACTGTATTGATGAGGTATTGTATGCGGTTAGGTAACATGCTGCGAGACCAAAATATTGTAATCCATCGAAATTGATCACTGTTGGCAAAGCTCTTCACAGAAAATGTCAACTACATAATACAAAAATAACAACAGCAAAGCATTATTGATTACTAAGTACTTAATTTGTGTCAGAAAACATTGACAAATGTTTTTTAGGGTCAATTCAAGTTTCACTAAAAGCAAATGTACAAATCTATTGTCCGTCAGCGGAATGCAAAAAACATGACGCAATTGGGTCATTTGAAACCAATAACTTTGCCGGCGAAACCGCAATGTGATATTAATAGACAACTACCGACAGACAGACACTGATTATTATTCAAGATTATGTACCGAACGACGAACACAAACATACTTTACAATTATTCATTTAATGCGGTTTTTAATGACACCCGGAAAAGGGTTCAATAAAAGTTTAAGAAAAGAAGAATGTGTAAACAAATCGTTATTGGTTAAATTGTATGGCGTCAAAGAAACAAACTGATTCTAATTTACAACGAAACGTCCAGTTTGTTTTGGTCGTTCATCAAGTCTAAACAAATGTTGAGGCCGAGAGGAAATAGAAATCAAGTTTCGAGAAAAGGAAAAAAAACGGCGGGAAGTGACGTTGCTTGACCCGAAAAAACGGTTACAGCAACGTCAGACTTTGGCCTTATAATGGTCAGTTAGCATCAGCACTGAGGAATTTCTTTGTTTACACGTTATTGACAGCGCAATACAAACGGCCAGATTTAGAACAACAGCAAGCATTAATAGCACTAGGTACTCTTTTAGCCCGCAGTTTTACTGGCGTAAACGTGTGACGTATCGAGAAGATAGTCACATGTTCCGTATTAAAAATGCAATACAGAAAGAAAAATGCACTGTGGTCTGTTGCCAACCAATATTTTTACTGAATTCTACTTCCTACACAAAACCTTGAGGATAGCATGTTTAATGTATTTCTTTTTATTTGAATTCTCTTTTAAAAACAACTTTGTTTAGAGAATGAAAGGATTAAAAGCATTTAGCTTTTATCTTCCGCTTCCTAGCCTAGTTTATCACAGTGGAGCGCATGCAAGTTCTAAGACTCCTAATACCCGTGCACCTTTAGCTCCCATATGACGCGTCAGAATCTGGCAAGGCGCCATGTAAACACACCACCAAATAGGGCAATGACCACCTTACAAACGCAAATAGAATATTTTCTATTAATAATCGCGTCCGAAAATAAATAGAAAGCGAGGGGAGACACCACGTGTCTCCCGTATACAAAGATTAATTGCCGTCACTCCAGAGCAGCACTAGAATGTTTGGAAATGGATTATAAAACTTCAGAACAAAAACTTAGAAAGCAAGCTCACTCAATTTATATTAGTAATACAATTAAAATACGCTCTTTCAAAACAAAGAAACGGTCCCAAGACCTTAAAATGAGACATTCACAGCATTTAAGATTGACGGACGTGAACTAATTTTATCGTGTAGTCTTTCCTTTGTCATTGAGTTAGATAAAAATAAAGGTGTCCGTACTTTCGTAGCTCCCAGGGGTAAACATTGATTTGTTAAATGTATTTTTAGTCCGTAAATACGGGCTTTGTTTGTGTAGAGCTGTAAATAGAATCCCAATACGGCTTATAACGTTGTTTGATTGCGCTTGAATATTATATTATTAACGACAATAATGGAAGATGATCTTAAGACTGATGATGTAAGAATAATGAGCGTGTGAGGTCCGTTTATTTGTATATCTCCTGGTTTGAGGAGTATTTTATGAGAATATCAGTACTAATGACACTGTAATCAGGATTCCAGTGAACTGTAACTGTGTTATGACGAGGTTGAGATAAGTCTGTAAAGGTTGACGTGGATCACGAAAGACGTTGTTTCCATACAAGAGAAAGAGTATTGCACCTTTAAGAGTTGTATTAGAAAACAATTTCCACTACGTCTAACTTTCCACGTTTCTCGTGTCGTCATTTGTGGCTCGTGTAAAGGAAAACTGTGACGCAGCGTTTAATGCGCCGAGAGACCAAACGCCGCAGTGAAAACTTAACATACACGTGACGGTAAAGGTCATACAGAGTGGAGCTCGTACGCGCCGTAAACAAGACTTCGATGGCGAAAGAAATCATTTGCGTAGCAAGGAAATCGTTTTCCTAGAACAATTTGCGCAGTATGCAGTGCAGCCGCGAGGCGATCATACTTAATGATCACTGGCGCTACTGCTCTTGTTAACATCAATCATGTAAACAAACAGCCTCGAAGGTATTAACTAGTGTCTACTGGTTTTGTATACATTTTATATAAGGTGTTTTAAAAGTTTGTGAATTTATCCAAAGTGATGTCATGCAAGTTTGTGAATTAAAATAGTACCATAATCATGATGTGAGACGAAACTCCGAAATTCATATCAAACCCGAATTAACCCGGTCACCGCTTCATTGAAGAGCACAGTCAGTAGTTCATTGAGAATTTTTTATTTACGATGCAATAAATCTGCTCCCACGCGACCCCGGGCCGCCTCCTAGCAACGGTGCGCCCACCGATGTCGAAAAAGGTCGGAACTCACAACACGTGGTGGTATGTACTTTCGTACGCCTTCTACACCAATATGTGGGATGTAGTGATCGGTGATTGTAGCGAATTGATCGCTTTGAAAACAGTAACAACGAGCAATGAACTGAACGCTGTATTATAAATAACAACGGCTTAAAAATGAAAACATGATGCAAGGCTGATGAGCAATTTCCGCATACGACATGTAAACAATAATTACGAAAGTACTCGCAGTTTAATAGCTTCGAGCGAGAATCAACAATGGCGGTTGCATATATGGTACGGAGTAAGTAAATTAATAACCGCAGATGACACCGGTTAATTCCGGATTAATCGAACAATCGGATGTTATTCGATGCGATGATCGATTGTTATTCGATGTTCAACCGAGTACCTACTGTGATATCATTCGATATAACATAAAGCACGTGTCAAAGAGTTATGAAAGTTATTATAAAGTTTAACCTATTAATTTAACAATTAAAATTAGCTTACCTCGTTTATGTGTTTGTAGGTTTTGATGAGGTCAACGCTCAGTTTTCTTAGTGGAGCTGTCGAAGGGTCTCGAAAGTGATGTGGTATTCGGGCCTGCATAGCCTGGGTAAGCGAGAAGTGTTCATTAATAGATGGCAACAAGGAGAAGCAGCCAACAAAGCAATTCAAGCTAAGCGTACAAACATAGTTACAGGCAAAACAGAATATTACTACGCTACAGACAGTAAGACAAAAAGCATAATTTTGACAAAGTTATGGTAAAATATGAACTAAAACGTGAGTAACACATTTTACCGAAACTGATTGTATCAAATAAAATGCATCAACAGCTAACAAAAAAGGTATACTAGAATACAAAATAATGATAACATCTAGGAAGCTAAATAAGACGCACATAGACGTCTTAATACACGAGACGGTTTGTATAAACATCTATTCAATAAAATGTTGAACAATTGGTTCACACCTGAAGTGCACCTACAATATATCCTTAAAGCAATCACTGTCTGTAATAACCATACATTAGTGCGGGGATTATTAACGTCACGAGGCGCGCGCGACCACCACATCGATGATAATCTAACAAAGTTTTGTATTGAAACATGTTCACTCTGACAATAAGAAGGGTACCCAATATTTTGCGCGAGAAACACTAGTCGGACACATTTATTAATTAACCCAGTCTAGACGAGGGGGGTATATATCGATCGGTGCCAGTTCGTATTCAACGTTAACTAAATACATCACTAGTGTTTCAGTGAAAGAGAACTTAGTTGTAGCAGGTAATTAGTGGCACTTTACTGACTAATTTATTTACTTGCGCGTAATGTCTAGACGCGCGTAGTTAATGGCTCTTTTAATAAAACAATAGGTGTGGCGCACGGAGGTCACGAGTTTAAGAAACTTCAATTATATGCAAGTAAGTGCATTGCTTCTCATGAAATTGGGTTTGGAAGCGTTGGTACTGAGTAGTGAACATTCGTAATTATGACACGGATACTTGGATGTATTTTTGAATAGTAGCAACATTGGTTGGTGTTTAGGACGTTAGTCCTCCAAACTGCCTCGTGCATCATTTACCTGAGCGGGGGTTTGGTAGCAGCAGAAAGCTCGGGGATCGCGCACTGTGGCGCTCACCTGAATGTCTGAGGGCGCGGACATGGACGCCAGCTGGTCTTCAGCAACCAGTCTCCCGTACAACGGCACGTGGCGTCGTTCGCCGCCAGCTGCCTCCGGCATGCCGCCGCCGACCACGCCCACTGCAATGAACACACACATTACATCACACTCAACCACAACAAGTCTAATTCTTAACATACCTAGGTTGTTTTGATGTAAGCAGTTTGGCTTAGCGTTTGCAACACTACAATATGATTTCTGACTGGCTAACAATTATGAAATCTGATTGGAAATAAATCTATTTTTAAGAAGATACTACGTATAAATAAAGGCTAAGTACTTATGGGAAAAAATACTTATTTTTCTAATCATACACTAGATGATCAAAGTAAAATAAAAAGTAGATACCTAATAATATGAAACATGTGTAATGTGTATTATAATAAATTTTTGTTTACACAAATCTATTTTCGGTTCATATTTTTATCGCATAGTTGTTTGATATAAAAACGAACACTGAAGTAATTCTTCAATTTATTTTAATCGATGTTATTAAGATTAGAATAAATTGTATGTGTGCTCAATCCGTCGTAGATTGATGGCGATAATTCGATAAAAACCAGTATTAAAGTTAGTCATTATTAGTTCGGTAGACGGCGCGGGCGTCGCATCTCAATCAATCTGGTATCGTAATAGCTCAAATTGCCGTGTGAACATGCTTTATTCACCTGATTGCCGCCCACATACTGCCGGATCCAAATACTTTATAGGTATGTTAAAGGTGAATGAATCATTCCGGATTGACTTGTTTCACGGTCTATGGGCGACGTCATCTCTGCGTTTATGGAAACACGTTAGGAGTCAATATTATTAGCACTGGGATAATTTGGAACGGTCTTAATTGAATTGGATTCAGATATCATTAGTATGCTTAAGGTAAGACCTTAAACAGTACTTTTTGTGTTATAATTTTCTGTGTACAACAAAACATAGTTTAAAGTTTTCAGAACGTAAAGTTCCTTGTTGGAAATTTTGTGTTGTGTTGTTTAACCAAAGTCGTGGTAGAACACGTTGCTAAGTATCGTATAGCCAAAGTTCTCACATCGCACTGTCCTCCCGGGATGCTTTTACATGTCTAAAACCTGCGGTAAGAATGTTGTAGTCTCATTTCTTTACTTTTTTAACCATAAAATACTTGAGTTTCTGCAGAAATATTCAACGGTCAGTGTGGTTTATTCGGTAACTATTTTTAAATTAGTATCTCTTTAGCTAAACGGATGTTTTTCAATAATAATTAAGTTTCTTAGATTCCAAAGAAGCGGTAATTTTATGGTAATTACTGGTTACTTAACAACAAAAATGTTACTTTCTCCAGGATTTCCCAAGTCTAAGACTTCACACAACATTACACGACTAATTCAAGTTTTAATAACCGTAAATTTCGATCACGAACGTCTTCGCGCAATAAAAAATCTCTTCAACCCGTAAAATTAAATCAGCTAATAAAATAAAACTCCATAAACAAAGCGTCCTCGACCGAGTTCAACTGAAAACGATGGGAGAAAAGGTTTCTCATCAACATTTTGTTATATATATTGTTACTTTTGTTGGGTGAGTCGAATTCGTTTTAACATGTAATCCAAGGTGTGAATGTGAACCTTATCGCGTTCAATCCAGAGGTCGCAGACAAGTTAATTTAGTCTTATTTATGTACCGTCTGGTACGACGTGACATTTCATAATAAAACACCGACGTTCGAGGCTCGCTAGGTACTTTTGCAAGGCGAAAAGTTTGTTGAACGTCTCACAAGTTCTCATTACGTACACAGGTATCTATTTAAATTGGACCTCATTTTTAGAGCGAATTTCTTTTTATTTTCGTAACAGGTGTCGAATATGAGGAGTTAGTTCTAAGTAGAAAAACATTCTTAACAGTTTTGGATTAAAATATTTAATGAATTCTAGTATCCTGTTCGCGTCCTTTTGCGACGATTTATATCATTGACATTTAAGCAAAGTTGTCGAACGATAAGCATTTGGTTGAGCTAAATTTCAGATAGGCAATTTTGGATGATGCAGGTGGCTTTATTGGATTGAAAAAACTGATACTCACAAATAAAAATAATATCGTTAGAAACAAGATCGTGAGAATTGTTAAACAATGTTTGTAAATAATAATAAAGGATTATGTAACATAAACATAACATAGTTTATTCAAAGAAACAACTAGTTATATCTGTATCTACATCTAGGTATAACAACAGCCCTACAAAGACCTAGTGAGCTAATTCCCGTTCGTAGTTTAATTACTGTTTGGACGGAACTCTAACTGAACAGCTGCCAATTAAAAATAGTTCTCGGTTTAGCACAATCTTTGTGTACATTTTCGCATTCTATCTAATCCTATTCATTGATATTTGACTTTTGTATACTTGTTTGTGTATGTTCTAAGTATTTCTTTAAAATCGAGTGAAACCGAGAGAGCAACAACACAACTAAGGTTTTTTATCTATCCCAGAAATCTGGTCTCTAGTCGTCCTGATATCCAGTTTTGAATATCTACATAGCTACGAAACCACAAAAGCCCATTACACCGACATTAAACATTCCATATCCTTGAAAATTTTAAAACGAAATGCAGCTATGTTGCTATGCGGTAGAAATAGGTATGACTAATTTTTCTTCATGTTTTTTCTCTATGTCGTAATATGCGCGCACGAAGATTTATTATGGTAAAGAGATTAGGCGGTTTGCTTTAGTAACAAGATTCAGTTTCCCACAAGCGTACAAGTCTTTCTTTCTCTATTATTATAACTATTTTATTGATAACTGATTTACAACCATATCAGATCAATTTTTATTTTGCATCCCAATTTTATAAAAATGGATAAACATTCACGATCAAACGTAGCGTCAATATTGGTAGGCTATCAGGCCTATTATCAAGTACGTATGCGCGCGCGCATTCATTGTGTTATCGTCACACACACATGTACCCCACGAGCATGCAACTGCGTAGTTTATTGTGAAATGTGTACTGTTGTGTGCGAAAACAGTTTTGCGAACTCTGGTATTTGTTTGACGAGGTGCAAATAAACAGATTGGTATTATTTTGTGAAAAAAAAAATATAAATAATGCTCGAAGTTGATTACAAGCTATGTGTCTAATTATGTTTATGTTTGAGGTTAACAGTCAAGGGGTCGATATTGTGTACTTGTGGTGTTTGAATAATTATACGAGTAAATACCCAAAATTGTGTTGGACTAGCAGGAAGACAGTGATAACGTAAGTAAATTATTGATATTTAAGTATCAACTTTATGGGAAGTGCAATATAAATGTGTCGCCTTGAAAGGACTTTGGAACAATTGATAGTTACTTAAATTAGTGTCAAACAAACCAATTTATTAGCACACGTGGTGGTACACAGTTAGCCCACGTGATTCTTGATGAATCAGTGTATTTGGACCGTTTGGACGAGATTTCACCAGTCCTAGGGTTTAAACAGTATTGAGAATGAAACTGCTTTATCATTCAGTTCATTATTTTTTATTCAAATTACTTAGTCATAGGCATCATAATCTTATGAAATATTTTCTATTAACTAGTAATATAAATATGTATACACTGTATAGTAGAGCTATCAACATAAATGCTAGCTTTGATTTAGGGTTTGTATTGAGGTGACAGTAAATGGAGGGATTTAAATGTGCTAGTTTCTTGTCAGTTAATTGACCATAGGGAGACAGTAGAAAGCATCTTCCAAGATGCATGACAGAATAGTTAAACCAATAACATTCTCGTGGCGTACATAAATATGTTAAAATTATCTACATCCGGATAACTCACTCTCCGGACGCTCAGATGAATGGATGTAGGTACGACTCCGCTCCGATTGAAAATCAGGCCGCATCCGCCTATTAGCATTACAAACATTCTTAGTTCCGTACTAAAACGACAATATCTAACCAATGTATTCATCTTTGTCAAGTTTGTTCTTTTTAAAACACATTTTGACACCTATAAATTAGATTTACAAATTCACTTTTTCCTTTGTCAGTATAATATAATATTATCAATTTGATTCTGTGCCAGTGAGAGTAAGACAAAGTTGTTTCCCTTTCATGATACAAACGATAAATACCTACATTAGGACCATATGACAATTCGGCGTAGAAAGGCGGCACGCGGCGAAAGCGCACGCGATTTCTGTACCCAAGCGGCGACGATCGGTGATATTATAACAAGTTTGCATTTAAACTGCGGAATAAAAGCGTCCAGGGTATGTAGAGCTCTGCGACAAGGTCATATTTCCCTTTGGCGATCGGACTATCGTAGTGCAAAGGGAGGTGTGGAAAGGCTGTATGTGAGTAAGGTATCGGGCCGACGAACGGCCGGAGACGAGTCGCTACGTCATCGGTGTGCTGCTAACGTTCGGAACCGGCCGCGGTGTCGGCCGACAACCTGTGGTAGGTATGTCAGGAATGTGACTAGCCTCCGGTAGATTGGCGTGGGAGGTGCAAGATACCAGTGTTCGCTGTTTACGAACCGCAATTGCAATTCAATGTGAATTTATTTTAACGCCTTGTGTCCACATGTTGGTCTATTGTTTTTATTCAAGTCTTATACTTAATTTATATCTATCGTTAACTAGCAACAACAACAATTAACAGTTTCATGTCCCGCTTGTATAATATGATGCTGTAATATTGCAAATAAGTAACTTAGAAGATTATTTAATTTTAAGATAGCAATATCAGATTTGTTTTTAAGCATGTGTATAATCGTAACGGTATCATTTAAATCGATGTGATATTGAATACGATGCAGTTTATAGTTACTTAAATCTTTAAAGAACTTTAGTATTATTAAGCACAAGGTCGTATTAAAACCGTGTCATGGAAGTTTAAGTAAAATGTATGGTCGATCGTAGCTCGATGTAACTGCGCAGTTCTCGAGTCGAGTCTTCGAGGAATCCATTAAGGCGATCTCCTTGACGCATTACTGGTAGCAATGCCAGTCGGGGACTGTATTGTATGCACGGTAACAATTAGAAACTTACTATTGCCAGGTTCGCTTTCGTAATAGGTATCCATCACTACACAATACTTCAAAATTGTAAATTGAACTACACAAAAAATCACTAAATTAACGTTTTAAGTCACAAAGAAGCACTTGAAAAATCCAAACATCGTAAGAAATCCTCGTCCGGAGTGGACGCAAACAAGCAAATGCGCTCATCGTGTTTTTTCACTGTAAAACTGTAGACACTTAAGTATTTCTTTGTGGATGAGCACAGAACGTAGTTGTTAAACAATCAATGTGTCGGTGAGCGGTGGGCCGGCATCGTCGTCGGGCGTCCTTGCCCGCGTCACCCGCATGTTATTGTTGTGAAACAATGTTTATACACGTGGCGGTGTTGATGCGCACTTCACGTCTCCGTCGATAAGGACGCTATGTCGGCGCGGCCAGCCCGCCACAACTAACGCGCGAAACCAATGCTTGCTAGTAATAACCGAACGGAAGGCCACGTGATTCAGATGACAAACGCGTCGGTAAACTATACACTGACCGACCGGTCGAGCCATGCTTATCGGTTAACGATTTACTATCAAATCTCCATGTCGGGAAGTTATTACATACATTACGTTCTTTACAAAATATTTTCATAGTCACAAGGAATTGCAGAAGTTATTTAATTAGTGACAGAAAGAAAAGTGTTTGATAACAAAGGGAGTCAATTTCAATTCCTCTAGTAGCATCACATCTTTGAAGTATATCTAACTATTAGGATGAAAAATCACAGGACCCGCACCTCGAACAGTCATATGCATAAAACTACACGAATTCCTTTTTTCTCGGCTGCTGCCAGCCACGCAATTTCTCCGATTGTATGCAAATCCTCCACGCAAACAAAGAATGAAAAAGCACCGACGCAGACGTTCGCTCCATCCCACCTGTGTCCCCCCATCGCGGCCGTCTGAGCTGCGGGCAAACTAGCGACCGTTGCGACGCAATCCAAGCGAGAGCCGCACCGTAAACAACCACGATATTATTCCTGAATAGATCTCATCTCTTTACATATCGACCGCCACCGTCTTGTCGAGCACGCTTTTATTAGCCGTCTTCAACTTGTGAATTATTCAGCGAGTATTCTATTAAGCACTTAGGGAGAAGAATAATGCATCCAGTAGATTTTCATAGTGGCAGGGTCGGCGGGCGCGTCGTATAAACATCACCTTGGCCCGCACGCTCGGCCCGAGAGGAAAATAGAATCGAATGCATCAGAATGTGACCCATTTAATGAAAAGTGTGATAACAAATGGGGACGTGAATAGTGAATACGTAATGCTTATATACATTTATTTTGCTATAACTACATGAATATATTTCGTAATATTATTAAGTAATCAACAAAGCTTGAACAGCTAGCACTAGTTTTATTATTTTATCCGTGCATTCGTGAACAAACGGAAAGAAGTGACTAAATACTCATTTACTGGATCTGATGTCATAATAAAGTACATAATACATATTACATACCTAAGTATAAGACGCTATAATAGATGTTATTTTATTATTATTATTTTTAAACGTGAACAGTCTGAATTGTTAAAAGAATAATTTATACGATAACCGTGAGTGCGAGTAATTTGATGTTCTAAGTGAAATATGGATCCTAGTTCATTTAGTATCCTACCCAACCCACTGGCCCTTTCTATGACTTAACACTGCTGGTGCGTGAATTTATGCAGTAATCTGCAGTATAGTACAGAACAATTGATAATAAATCATTAACTCAACAATAAACCAAAGGCAAAGTCACAGTGTCGTAACGTCGTCGCAAGGATGTCATTAATTAAAAATAAAAGCGTTGCTCCGTGACTGCGTCAGAGTCACAGACGTCGTCGGCGGCGCCGGTGCGGTGTAGCAACCGTAGCACGCTGCAGATGGTAGCACGCGAAGCCCGCGAGGCCACAGGACGGGTCCAAGGCAGGTTTAACGGCCGGCCGCCCGCCTGTCTGGCCGTTCACCCGGGGCCCGCGCGGGGGCGAAACGTGCGCGAAAACACCGCGCCCGCGCCGTTATTGCCTCACGCTCGAACCACACATAGCCAAACGTTTTCCTTTGTCGTGTTATCTCTTTCTATTTCTTACCGAATGTAAAGGACGCGGCGCAAACGCACCGAGTGTGGACAACACTAGAATAGATACAAGGAAGTGATACACGATCGTGTATCTTATCGATCACTAAGCGATAGATTGGGTCGGATCGGACCTCAAAATTATAAGTGTTGTTGAACTTGACTTGTCAACGACATTTTGTGACTTTTAAAATCAGATAAATTATTTAAAGATTTTGTATTTTGCATGGTTAAGGTAAGCCGCAAACCATCACCCAGACGCATTAAAGTTGTATGAATTGTGTTCGTTTACTCGATAACGGGACAAGGTACGGAGTTAATATAATTATTTATTACTAATTTTAGCAAAACCGTACCACGATGTCATACCATAAAGATGTGTTTTGAATAGAAATAAGTAACTTTTATGTAATTTAGATCAGCAGCTGTTCACCATTTGTGTTGAACGATAATACCAAAAAAAACGTGCGGTCTCGTTTGTTTGAGCTAATTTTCGATGACTGAAGGGTATTTTACAGTTCACTCAATTATTTTCAACTCGTAAATCCCAATAAGTCATTTGATTTCCTCAATTTGCCAGTCAAATAAGACAAAGATTGTAAGAAAACAATAACACCGATTATATTATTGTTAATTAACTTTCGTTTGAGCTCAGTCGTGGTTAAATATCCGCTTTGTTGTTACGCCAGTAGATATTGTACTTACGGTGCTAAATATAGGTAAATTAATCGTATAGATCCGTGGTTCACTCACAAACCAGGAGTTACTTTATGAAGGTACAGAAGCCTTCTTTACCTCGCTGTTTTCCTCAAGTTTCCTTTACCTCAAAGAGCCGTTATTAGGCAAAAAGCACACCTTTGGTTAAAAACCAAATACAGTTTCCATTTTAATTAACAAATGCTGTGCATACAAAATCATATCTAAAGCCTGTTTATTGCTGAAAATATAGTATAGCAGTTATTATAGACAATCGAAGTTTATAGAGCGAAAAGTAGGCTTCAGATACGTTAAGATATTCGGAGAACAATTTAGTTGAGATCTTAGGACACCGGCGCTGACCATTGTCCAGCATCCGAGCGAGATAAGTGTGTCGTTCTAGATTGTGCAAGCCGGCCACCGTTGCGGCGGCGATGTGCAAAAACCGTCGGCGGTCAACGACGCTGGGGCCCGATGGGGATGCGCAACACCACCAAAACGGACTCTGGCATTACTCATTGTTCATAATATACAAATGTTATAAAATACAAATTAGATTCATCAAATACACGGAACAACATTTTTTCCCAAAACATCAAACTGATATGTAATATCTAAGAACAAGAGATGTTTAATTATGAGTTATCATTACTTAATCTACCCTTAGAGAGTTATTTTACTTGATTTCGAATTCTGATATTTGTTAAATGACGATCAATTTATTTTAGTCTTGAAAGGTCTCGAAACAGGAAGTCGTGCTAAGGGCAATGAACACTCGAGTGTGAAGGTCGCAAAATAAATAACTACGTGTCACAGTCGGCACTGTTCGATAAAACTGATAAAAACATTAAATGGGCTTGCTCTGACGAAAAGTTAGTTGGATATTCATAGCTGTGAGTAATAAAGCAAATTAGATTACAATTGCTTTGTGTATTAGGTACAATATGCTTGGTGTCAGACAGAAATTAAGGCGAGTACAAACTGTACCCGAAACCGTGCTATCATCAGACGTCACACGTTCATACAGTTACCGTTAAGTCTTGATGCTTTCCATACTCATTCAATTATTAAAATAACAGCACCGTTGGACGCGCAAAAACCTTAGCTGTCGGTCGATGACACCGAGGGGCACTTTAGGGCTGACTCCGTCATACTTCGTCAACTTTGTACCATAGTTTTTATTTTCCTTATAATAAACCATTGACCGGCAATAGCGTGTACATTACATACTTTCGGCTGTTTTCTTTTTCGATTTTAAAGCCGCTTTCGAAACTGCACTAACTATTTTAAAGTACGGCTGATTTTTGAGTAAACATTTCATAAATGTTCGGTGAAACTTAAGCCAATTAAAATGCTAGTTACTTAGTCGTTATGCAATGAGATCGTGGTCACAGAAAATAATGGGGCGCTGGCTCGCTGGAGAAATCTTTACCATTTACATAGGGTACCTGAATGCCCACACACATTTGCCCACGCTGCCAGTGTATTGTCCTCAGCTGCCATGTATGAATAACTACCCTGAACCACTTCTTGTTATTGAACTCTGATATTTGAAGTTAATTTATTGACAGAAATGTTTCGTGATTATCATGTTAATTGTGCTCTCGTAGTTAACTGTAGCTGGAAACTTTAAAATTGGTCGATACCTATTTCTTTTCAAACAATAGTATAAGTTTAAACTGTGTTGGTTAGAATTTCATTAAAACGCGGCGCTCTCTTGGGCTTAATGTTACTTTATTACGACTTCTAACCTAAGAAATTTCTAATTATTCGAGACAATTTCACCGGCACAATGCGTACAGACAATTTTGGTGGGGAACGATAAATCGTCGTTCCGCATTCCGATGTGAAATTCATTCACGGGTCGTAACGAAGTCGTCTAGACTGTGTGTCGGAGAAAGGTGACCATTCACCGACCGGCGTGACTCGCGAGGCGGGCCGACTTCGCTCCCACCGACGTGTAAGTAACTGGTTAGTAATCGGCTTCGTTATCATGTGAACACATTAATTTTTTATAGTTTTTCGTACACTCTGGAAATACCGTTCGATTCAACAGTTAAAGACAACGTTTAAAAGTTATGAGAATTTTTGAAGTTTCTTTCATAACTTTGGCTCAAAACATTAGCAATCACAATTAGGTACAATGGCATACAGTTACGAGGGTCGTTTGATAGCCGACGCACAATCTGTCTGCAATATACTCTCATAATCTTGTACACAGCGAGGCGGTATCGACACAAAGTATAAAACTAAATAATGTAAGTCTTGTAAGCGACCACTTTCCAAACAACACGATATCATCTACATGACGGCGGTGCACGAGCGTTTGGTTTTAATGACAGCGCACCGTGAGGCCAGCATCCGCGTAGCAACAGCTTTCAGACAGTGAATGAAAGTTGATCGCCGCGGAAAAAATGCGGGACCGCCGATGGTTCCGGCACAAACGACCGCCGTAAATATTTGGCACTCGGATCTCAAGCTGTGTCCCGGACAAACGCAATACAATTTCCATCGTAGTTTCAGTATGCCAGTACTTTTAAATGCTTACCTACAAAGTAACTCCATCCACCTTTCTTTTTATAATGTTTATGTCGCGGAACAAATTCGGTCCTTCTAAAATTTTGTTTCCTCAAACATTCTGAGATAAATTAGGATGTTTTATTTTGCATTCATGAATTTCAAATAGGTTGTTAGCAAATTTATTTGAAGTCGCCATCCTTATCCTTATAAGTGAGGAAGGTTTTACATTTAGCCAGCTTCAAATTTTAGATGATTGTTTACAAAGAACGTTTACTCGTTAACAACACACTTTTTTGTGTTCGGTACAAACGGCTGGTTGCCAAGGTGGTCACCTAGTTTCTTTTTACATTCGTAAATATTTATTGTTATTTTCGTTAAATAGGAACAATTCTTGAAACATGATCAGTATAGGTAAATGAAGTTTCTTTTTATATCTAATTATACCTTTATTATGACATATAAATTAGGAATATTTAAATTATGTGTGTAAGTAATGGGATATGAAAATTATCGTGTTTATAACATTTAAATCGAGGATAGCATGTCCCAATTTTCCCAGAAACTGGGTATTAAGAACAGTCTTTGTGTTATTTAGAACTGGCAAATGCATGCAACGATCTCCAGCGGAGTGCCAAAAGCGTGGGAGGAGAGAGTTGCGGGGCATCACCACCGGAAAGTCGAATAAAATATAGGTGTTACAGTCAAAGCGGGTCATCATACCGACAAAACGGCTGTTTGATGTTGCAAACAATATTCTTAAATTACAGAATTAATCATTTTTAGACTGTAAAAGGAAAATATTATTATTGACGTGCACCTCGTTTGTAAACAAACAACCGGCAAACGAAGAGATTAATCCAATCGATATGTTGAAATGCCGCGTTCGACTTATGGTATTTTACAAAAAAACCGTACGAAGTACTGGAATCTAATAAAGCTTCAATGCAAGCACCAAGCACCCATCTGCGAGGGTTGAACACAGAATTAGGTTAAAGGTTGGGGAGGTCGACGCCGCGTTAAACAATTTTAGGGTCGAGGCTATATGGACCGATCATAATGTGGCTAAAAATAAAGTACAAATTATGTCAAAAAATCTATTTACAAATATAATTTATTATTAGGTTATTTTTATTTGCAGCACAGCCAGGGACTTATTTGTTGTTGTTGATTGATGGTTACGAAATGTAGGACACGGAACTTTAAGACTTTAATTACAGCGTGATATTTTCATGTCGGAATACGAAATTCTCGACTCGGTTTCGCCACTTTCGAATATATGGAATTCCGAGAGTGTGTACCTAGGTATCTTACATAACTATATTTATTGGGGCCACGCAAATGGTCTGTTGTCTGATAAGTTTCAGGTGCAAAAGTAGTGCAAATCAATAGCATGCTAGTGGAAAATTGGGGTCAAAGGGATGTAGGGCAGGATGAACATATACCCTACAGGTGGGTCACAGAGGGCTGTGTGCATTCAACAATGTACACCCATGGGGGTTTATTCACATGCATTTGTTTAGCCTGTTGTATCATTAAAGGAGGTCACAACATGGAAAATTGTGTTATGTCCAATGAATCAAGGGCCCATGTGATTTGATTCACTTGAATTGTTGCAGGCTAGGGAAACATCAAAAGGAATTGCTAATAAACAAGTTAGAATTATGACAGCATAAGAAACCTTAGTGTGTAGTAATAATAGGGAAACTGAAAATGCTTATTAATTGATTATTATAAATTATACAGGAAAGTTAAATAGTGCTAAAAATAGATATAATACATGGCTCTAAAAATACACTACATAATTACATAAATAGCATTTGAAAGTCTTTCAGGATATAAAAGTTAGAGACCAAAACTAGGATATGAGTCCGAAGAGTTCTAGGGCAAACAATTTGTATGATGATGGTTGATTTTATATGATTATTCACAGTAAATGTTGCATCAGATTTACTGATTCAAAAGTAAGGTTCAACCCAATAAGATTTTTAATGTGTTTCTAAACTTAACTATTTGAATGTTTGTAACAACAATGCCACATGGCTTGTGTAAGGATGATGTAAAATAATTTGTTTCGATATGGACATGCTTAGCACTAACTAACAGCTGTTTATTTATGTTTCAGTAATGAAGGATAAGTAACTAGATAACCTACCAGGAAATAAGCCAAATCTTAATTCTAATAAGTGCTAGCTACTGCATAGTGTTGACATGCTGACTAAATTTGCATATCATCACAACACTTACACTTGTTTTTGGCATTCTCATCCATGAGCATGTTGAAATGGTGGTGGCGGTTCCACGCAGCCATTTTGCCTTCGTGAGGAGCCCCGAGAAGCACCAGGGCCGCCCCGGCGGGCCCAACTCCGTCTAGGGGCTCCAGTGTCCTCAGCACACTACAACTTTGTCACACACTCATAACCCAAGGAACATAGCTATCACACACTCGCGCTCAAAACGCCGTCGCCCCGGACGGCGATGTCATCGGCGCCGACGCGCGGCGCACATGCCTTGCACTTCCGCTCCACGCACTTATGCACACGCGGGTAAACAAGCACGATCAAAACGGCACCGAGCGGTGATTCACCTCTAACGCCCGTCGCGCGCTCCGCACTGCAGGCGGACTGTAGCGGCGCCCGCGAGCCGCAGCCGACTGACACCCAAACACTCGTCCTATGTCACGTGTGCGCTATGTGCGCTGCACCTAATCACACCAACTAACAACACTATCCCGCACTAAATAATTCACACTCTATTAGAAATCACCGTCCAATATTACCCACAAATTAATAAATTCAACTGAACGCGATGCGAGCGAGCAAGCAAGACGCGCGACGCGGTTTCCCTTCGCCGATCCGATCCTCACTGCTCCGAATCGAACTCACGAACAAAATAATAACAAATGTGCATGAGAGATGCTCGCTATATTATGTGCACGTGGGTTGCGTCACAGTCAAGATCGACCAAATATTATGAAATCGCATTTAATGATCAGAATGTTTCAAAATACGATGAAATGCCTAAGAATGCAGACAGTTGATGGCCAGCTAACGAATATAAAATTTTATGAAATACGAACTTCACTGTCGCACACACAAGTATCCAAGTGCTTGTCAGGTCAAATGTTTAAGCAGTATAATTACAACACCAATAACTACACTATTTGTAAACAAAACACAGCCCGTAATACATTCAGAAAATAACAGTTTTGTACAGTAAACGCGAACGCGTTGATCAAGCGCGACAAATAGGACAAAACATGGCAGACTCGAAAAGCACACGAATTTTGTCTATGGTCGTTTTATTTTTTACGCTATGTTTTCACACAGAAAATGTAGGATCTACCTCCGACGCCATTTCATTGATTTCATTTTTAGACATTATTAATATGTTCTTGGGTAACTAAGTATAAAAAATATAGTTAATGTTTTAAAGAAGTTTCAATGTTAAAACAATTATTAAAAACAGTCAAAAATCTTTACAGCAAAATGACTTAGTCAAATTTTAAGCGGAAATATTGCGTAAAACGAAATCTACAGAAGGGAATCATAGACTAGCCTAACAACTGTTACCACAGAGAATACTATGCTGATTTAGATTGGGATAATCGTTCATTCTTTTTTAATTTTCTAAAAAAAGACAAAGAAATGAAAACGTATTGGGGTATTAGATTAGAATTTTAAAATAAATAGCTTTATAGCCATCCCTTTGTATCCTTTTGTATTTTGTTTTATTTCTATGAAGACAGCTAGATACAATATTTTTATAAAGAGAAAATATCTAATAATACTATATTTAAGGCAGTAGTGTAGGTAGTTAGTGAAGTAGGTGTGTTAGTGCTATTTTATAATTTAGGCACACTAAATAAATCAACATGTTGTAACCAGCTTAGCATAATTTCTAAACATGTTCCATGTCTGTGTTGAAAACTGCGAAATAAGAAGTCAGACAGAATGAATTTTCTATAATAAACACAATCACGAACACCCAAAAAAATTAATCTTAAACATGTTCATATGTTTTTATTGAATGTCAAAGAAGAAAAGAGAATAGAAATCACTTCCCATTTTTGTAAACAAAGCTACCTTTGCAATATTATGACTATAAAATACGTTTTATGGTAGACTATTAAAGTAAAAATTTGACGTTGTACCCAATAGCATAAATACACTGATGGAGGCCCGTGACAAGTTTATTGAAGTGTAGGCCTAACAAATATAAAAAAGATAGAGTTCAGATGAAAACCTATGAACGGGTTCCTTTCAGCTGGAGCCCTGTGGCATTTTGCCGACTTGGCACCCAGTAGTTACGCCACTGGTTATACGCCTTTTAAGTTACAGAACTATACCAATGGTTTCAACAAGGCTTAAGTCGTACATAATCACCTGATATAAATCCCCAATAGTCTCTAAACATTTGAAATAAAGACTGTAATGGAGTTTGTGGAGAGCGGTCACCGGTGGCCGCTAGGGAATTTATCAGTTTTGTTATTATATAATCTGATATAGAGTTGTAAATTACAAAAAGTAAAAGATTAAAAATTTCGCGACACAACCGAAATAAAATCGTATTTTAAACTTGCTAAACACAAATTTCATCAGTTTCCAGCTTTTTTCATATAGTTTTCATTTCATTATCTGTGGGACCGGAATGAATGGATTGTTTGCGTAACAAATTTCGTTCATATGTTCGGTCTTTTAATCTGTATTGTGAGCTATTGTGCTACGCTTCTTGTATCTTGCCTGTGTATTATCGTGAAATAAATAATAAATATCACATATAAGTCGTAGTTTTCCCTAAAGTGTAAAATTTGGATATTTGTTGGGAACATTTAATCACAAATAGGTAGTCGCGTTTTTTGATTGAAGTCACAAGCTTCAGTGAGCAAAAGCAAAGAACGCGTTGTGACTTGTGTGTGCGTCATAACTTGTAACCTTATTTCATTTTGTGACTGTGGTGTTTATTCGTCAATATTCACCGTAATTATAATAAAACAATGCCTAAAAACGGCGGAAGGATAAGAAATTTCAAAAACAGTGAACATTTTGGTAAGTGACTGCACTTTATTTGTTTGTTCACTAATGCTGAAAGTCACACATGGAATTTTCCCGTTTGGTGATGCAATATTGCAATGGCATTTTTTTGTTTGTCTACAGAACATGATGACCGCATGCACACTTCTGGAACGAGGCGTGTTAGTTTTAAACCAGGCACGAATAAAGGAAAAAATAAATGGAACAATGCCAAACTGTTATTGGATGATGATATCGACATGACTGGGTCTGCTGGAGGACCCCATGCACATCGCAAAGGAGCATATAGAGGCCGTGGAGGCCGGTTGAACTCTCCGGCGCCTAGAATAGGTCATGGAATTAACAAAAAGAAATTCGTCCCTGGTCCTCTACCCTGGTACCAAATTATCATACCATATGGAGCCAAACATGAGAAAGATGTGATTCTGAGGACTCTGCTCAGCTTCATTTCGCCAGATATCTTTGTGCCTCACTATTACAAAATCAATGGCAATGCTGCAGTCTTCTATGTGGATGATGTGAAACTCGCTGAAAAGCTCTTCCAAGCCGACAGAAAGATTACTATGTCCGATGGCTTTAAGTTGATGGTAATTGTTCGGAATACGGTTCCAAGTGTCACTGTTGATGCAGAGCTGAAGGAGAAAATGAAATTGGCAATGGCTAAGAGATATAATGCTGCTACAAAGGCACTAGACTTGACAAAGTTTCATGCGGATCCAGGTGATATATTTTATGACTAATTTAATTCGTTATCTATGTGGACGTTATCAGTTTAATGCTTATAGACTTCATTATGTTATCTAGTATTTACCTATTACACCTAAAGTTTTTACTTCAATTAGATTGCTAAGAGTATTTGAAAGTCAAAAACATAGTTTATTATTTTGTTTTATTGATGTTTGCTGTTGCATTCTATTATAAAAGGGTTATTAAGTTAAAATTGACTTTTTAATATGTATCTCATAAAACAAGTGATTTTATATTATTTTTGAATCGTTTCAGATTTGGCAGATGTATTCTGTGCTTTATTCCGCCCAGTAGTCATGTTGGAAGCTATCAATATCATTGCTGAGAACATTCCAGATCTTGAGGCTTTGAACCTCAATGATAACAAACTCCATGGCATCGAGCACCTGAAGATCCTACCTAACAAGTTGAAGAGTTTGAAGATCCTGTACATGGGTGACAACAGAGTAAGTTAACATTTAAGATAACCAGCCTTTTTTACAAGGTCATTAATTTTCTGTTAGTCTAATTTGAGGATAATTAGATGGGTTTTTAATCTAATAGACATTGTGAAACCAGCTATTATACATAATGTCATATTCACAGGCATTCATTTCGCATTGTCAGTATGTACGCATTGTGTTTGTAATGTAATAGTCTGTATTATAATAAAATCTAAATTTAATTATTTTAATAGATCCTAACAGATTACTTCCCAATGCAATAATGTTGTCACTCAAAATAACATAGTAATAACACATCCAAATTAATTGCACTTATTAATCAAGTAGAACTAACAACATCAGTCGTTACCTTTATGAACTCCGCTAATGAGCGACTGAAAATATCAATTGTTTGTGTTTTGTCCATCGCTGTTAATTATTTTAATAACTAGGCACAGGAAAATATCTACCTATGTTAGTGCGAGGGGTGAGGACTTCAAATAGTCTCTAGCTCAGCCTTAGCTTTCTTTTTGGGACGAGGGAGTTAAAACTTGTTATATGTTGTTTATAACTTTACTTTTTAGACATTGTTCTCCAGTATATGTTACTATATAGTTACTACAGATTGCTAGAAAAACTGTATGAGAGTTAGTCTTATATTACTATATTTTTCTTTCTAGATTCCATTCCTCGGCTCCCTGGAACCATTGAAGGCGCTACCGCTAGTGGAGTTGTACCTGAAAGGCAATCCCTTGCTGAACAGGTTTAGCGACCATGAAATCTACGTCAGGTAGTGTAAAGTTACTTTTACAGGTGGAACATTCCTGATTATGATGGATTAGCAAAACCTGGGAACCTTCCACATGGAACACCAGGGAAGAATAGGTGTTACATGGAGGTTACAAGTTAGAGAAGCAATTCTTTGATAAGTTAAATGACAATGATCAATACAAAATTGCTTTATAATTGTGTATTGATTGTGTCCTAATAGGCTAATCAATTTGATTGTTTAATTATTTAAATAGGAGCAAAACTGATGTGATAAATACTTCACAATTGACTTTATTTGCCATTGTTGAAAATTATTCTATTTACAAAGGAACTAAAGTCAGTTTTACTTCTATTTCCTTATTAAGTTTCAGAAACAATCTCCGTTTCTCCAACATACCAACAAACTGCTCTGTTTGCATCAAGAGCTTGGTAGCAGGTTCTGTACCTGCAAACTATAATGTGGCAATGATATCATGTCATTACTTTCTCCCTCATATAGTTTTGGTACATAAAAACTTAAATGCAAGATGCACTTACCATTCATAATAATATTTCTTGTAAAATTAATGTCTTATGAATTTTGTGGAACAATGAGTTTTGAGTTCCTAACATGAATGTAGGAAAACGGAAACTAATAGGAATTGTTTTTTATTTTGTATATTTTATAACCATGACAATCCCAAGAAAGGTCTAATACAAGTTAATAGAATCTACTAAAAGTATCAAGATTAAAGTATTACTTGAGCAGAACATTTTAAAACAAAAAGTCTACAAAAATACAAAATTAAAAAGAATTCACATTTCTTTCCGAGTACCTACATAGTGTCTGAAACAAATTTCTTCTACAGTACCTAGACAACTTCTATAAACCTGAATAAATTGTTATAGAAAATATTAACACATTGCTCTACTTTAAAATTCTCAGTATTTATGTCTCCGCTAACCTCTTTGAAAAGATAGAGATAGCATGAGGAAATATCAGCATAAACACTGGTAGAAAGTCTTTAGTTCGGGTGATTATTTTCGTTACGTATTTCGCATTTGTTACTCATGTTAACAGAAACTTGTTTTTAAATGATGGCATCTTACATTTATGATTTTTTGAAATCATTCTAGCATACTTCTTCTACATCTTGTCCCTTAGTCCTTCTGTTTTCTTACTGTCATGTTCCAAAAATACTATATTTTAATTTTATTTGTTTCTATGATTCCTTTTACCTTCGGCATCTCTTTTAAAATAATAAAATGTAGAAATATATCGAATAATCTGCCGAATATTGTTGATTTCATTTGTTATGCAATCCTACCTACGTTTCGATAACTACCTGAGCATGACTCAGGTATCTGATACATGTATCAGATACTGAGAAACATAAGGAAAATGAAATATAACGTCATTATTAATTACGTAAATATTTCGTCGCATATTTATACGGAAAAAATATTAAGATTATACTGGTATAAGTTTACCATGAATTCTATAACATAACATAAAACAAACTGTGTCTATATACCACCATAACCTATGTTTGTTATACAAATGGAATATAATTATGTTATTTGTTACGTTATTGGATTCATGGCAATCTTGTAAACGGACCCTTTACTTAACTGACAAGTTAAACGAATCAAAGAAACATAAAAATATATCAATTTTAAACCTACTTTTTTATGTACATTGAGTATAAATGTGACAAGTTAAACGGCAAGAACGAAACTTTGAAAATCAATATTAAGTTTTGAATTTTGTATTCAACTAATTTTAGAACAACTTCAAAGTTTTTTGTACTTTGATTTTTTTCAGAATGATGCTAACTGCGGTACTCGGAGACATTTAATAATAATTTACACTTGCTATTAACGATTTTATATACCTAAAACATTTGTTAAGCACTGGGCTTTTAGCAGCTCAGCCGTTGAATGACTCCGAGTATGATAAGTGAGTGTATATCATCAAGATATACTACCTACTTAATTATCAATAGTATAATTATCATGGTATCATTCTAGACAGGATCAGAGTACAAATAGCTCAAATTTGATAGTTTTGTTCGTATACCCATCGTTTAGCTTGTCTTTTTTAACCGACTTCAAAAAAAGGAGGAGGTTCTCAATTCGACCGTATATATGCTTTTTTTTTTTTTTATGTTTGTTCGCCGATATCTCCGTTGTTTATAAACCGATTTTGAAAATTCTTTTTTTGCTAGAAAGGAGATAGTTCCAGAATGGTCCCATGATAAGGAAATCAGGATCTGATGATGGAAGACCAGGGAAACCGAGGGGAACTTTTAAAAATTATAGGGGTGACTAGGGCATTTGTTAATTTTTTCATTAAGTATTAAAAACCACTACAATCTGATAAAGGTCTGGAGCCGATCTGATGATGGAGCCGAGAGCCAGTTGAGGGAACTCCTCAACGGTTAACAGTAGCTACCTTGTGTTTGGGTTTGATTAATTTGTATTGATGAGGACTTTACATCTGAGTGGGGTGTAATTGTCAATAAGGGTCTGATGATGAAGTAGTACGATAGTTGAGGGAACTCCTCAACGGTTAACAGTAGCTGCCTTGTGTTTGGGTTTGTTTAATTTGTATTGATGAGGACTTTACACCTGAATGGGGTGTAATTGTCAATAAGGGTCTGATGATGAAGTAGTACGATAGTTTAGGGAACTCCTCAACGGTTAACAGTAGCTGCCTTGTGTTTGGGTTTGATTAATTTGTATTGATGAGGACTTTACACCTGAGTGGGGTGTAATTGTCAATAAGGGTCTGATGATGAAGTAGTACGATAGTTGAGGGAACTCCTTAACGGTTAACAGTAGCTACCTTGTGTTTGGGTTTGATTAATTTGTATTGATGAGGACTTTACACCTGAGTAGGGTGTAATTGACAATAAGGGTCTGATGATGAAGTAGTACGATAGTTGAGGGAACTCCTCAAAGGTTAACACTAGCTACCTTGTGTTTGGGTTTGATTAATTTGTATTGATGAGGACTTTACACCTGAGTGGGGTGTAATTGTCAATAAGGGTCTGATGATGAAGTAGTACGATAGTTGAGGGAACTCCTCAAAGGTTAACACTAGCTACCTTGTGTTTGGGTTTGATTAATTTGTATTGATGAGGACTTTACACCTGAGTGGGGTGTAATTGTCAATAAGGGTCTGATGATGAAGTAGTACGATAGTTGAGGGAACTCCTCAACGGTTAACAGTAGCTACTTTGTGTTTGGGTTTGATTAATTTGTATTGATGAGGACTTTACACCTAGATGGGTGATGGTCATTAAAGGTCCAATGACGAAGTAGTATGATAGCTAAGGGACTCTTCAATGGTTAAGAGTACCCACCCGGTGTTTGAACTTGCATAATGTGTATTGATGAAAACTTTGCATCCATGTGGGTTTTGTATAATATAATATATCAAAGTACTAAACTAAAAAGTATAAAATAAAATTAAAAAACTGCGTTTAAAAAAACCGACTTCAAAAACAAATGACAAACAAAAAGTAAAAACTAAAAAGGAAAAAAAAAACTATTAGTGGTCATACGTACTTATAGCTTACACACCCACTGATAGGTTAGAAGTCGGTGCCACAAACCCACAATAAAATATAAAGTAGACAAAAGTCACAGCTGGTATAATCCATAATAAAATTGTAAACAGCTCAATAATGTTAGGTATCTATTAAGGTTTTAATGAATATATAATAATTAGGTTTAAAACTTGTGGCACCGACTTCTAACCTATCAGTGGGTGTGTAAGCTATAAGTACGTATGACCACTAATAGTTTTTTTTTTCCTTTTTAGTTTTTACTTTTTGTTTGTCATTTGTTTTTGAAGTCGGTTTTTTTTATACTCTGGGGTGTATTAAAACATATTATAACCATCATATACCACAATAGAGAGATATACTTCAAAAACAGTCCTATCTCTTTCTAACATCAACAAAATGATGGTTTAAGTATGTTATAATAGGAACCCTGAACTGAAACTAATCTGTAACTGAAGTTTCAGAGTTTCAGAGCCATGTGTCATGAAATTGCCATATTCTTTGTATTGTCTCCAGCGATGTGCGGAAGAAGTTTCCCAAGCTGACGAAACTGGTGAGTGATGGTGTTTTCAGGATGTTTTTTATACATTTTTGAATACATTATGTCATGTGACAGGTCGACCAACCAGATTGAGGTGTCATTTCTACTCTCCAATGACGGTAGGATGCTGTAGTCCTATTTGCTATGACAATGTACAAGTGGTGCTTACTAAAAATAGTAAAAATGCTTTATGCTCTGGTTTTGTAAAAGTATTTCGCTTGTTAATATTGTGATAGTAAATAGGAACTTCTTTGAATTAACAACCACCTATTTACAGCTATTTCCAATAATCTGTTAAACAGTGTATGTAATATTGACATAAAGTTATGTGTAGTGAGTTACATATCTGCTGATTATTGAAAATAGCTGTAAAACAAATTCAAGATCATTGCATCCTTCATTCATTAACCTTTCTATCTCTCTTGACTCTTTCTCTAATCCTGTTCACATAACATTTCGTAATCTGAAGTTATATTATCACATGTAAAAGATATAAAAATAATAATTATTTTTCTATAAAACTAATACAACTTCAGATTAACCAAAAATAATCATTAACTTCAAAACATCATGACACAAATTCCTTTGCATATTTTACAAAAAAAAAATACACAACAGGATGGAGTGGACCTGCCCCCCGCTATCGGATTCGACGTTCTAGAAGATGTGACTCTGCCACCGCGTCAGCAGTCGTTCTTAGTGGACCCTGCTGGCCAAGATTTGGTTCGCGAGTTCCTAACTCAGTACTTCGCTATTTATGATGCGGAGTCTCGTCAACCCTTGCTGGAAGCCTACCATGAACATGCTACTATGTCCATGGCAGCTAGTTACCTTACTAATGATAGTAGGAATGCAGCTACGCAAAGGTATGTTCTTATCTATATGCATTTTATATTTAAAGTTCTTGTTTCTTTTGTCTCGATGTTAGTCCTGCTGCGTCTTTGTTGGTTTTTTTGAAAATTCCTGTTGATCCAATAACCCTATTGCCTAAATTTTATTTTAATGTTCCTCTGGTAGATTTATTTAAAACTTTAGTCACGTATTTTTTCTTTTCTCACTAAATTAAATACTTTCGATGATGTATTAATTTGAAATATCGTGTGACGTCACAGCGTGCGACATTTTGTAGCACGTTATGACGTAACGAGGTTCCACTCCTAAACTTAGCGACATTTTATCTAAATACTCCAACTTAATATGAGAATATAAAAAATACGTGTCTAATATTTTTTTCATTATCTAACTGACGGACTAATTAGATTTTTAATTTTGATACCCTGGAAACTACCCATTTCCCAGTTATTATTGTGAAAGTTAACATAATGAATTGAAAATAACAAGATCAAGGGTTATTTGTTTTTCTTAAACTCATTGATTGCTAAGTATATGTAGTGAATATCGGGTCATTCCAAGTTAATTGCAAAGGCATTTTTCTGAAATAAAACATCGTAATGTCAAAAAGGGGATATTTTGAATCCTATTTGAAAATCATTTATACATTGACCGCATTCTCACACTATTAATTGTTTTCAGATTAAACGCGTACATAACAAACAGTCGCAATATTACGCGTATCACGGAGCGGGAGGCCCGGCGTAGATACCTGCGCACTGGCAGACTGCAGGTCGTCTCTTTCCTCTCCGACCTGCCGAAGACCACCCACGACTTGATGGGATTCGCTGTTGACCTGCTTATTTATACTGTAAGTGGAATTTTAAAGATTATTTCAACAGATACGTGACTAAGCCGAAAACATAATTATTAAATCGTCTCACGATAGTTTTAATATAAACATTATTTTAGGTTTCATCATCAGCCTGTATATATATTTATTTATTTTTATTTATTCTTCTCCTCAATGAAAAATAATGACTCTTTCTGTCTATATAATTTATTGTAAGCTAACTTACTTGTTAGAGGTCTTTACTAAAATCGAATTAAGGTATATATGGAAGAATATTTTGTAACCTTCTTTCATCCTTGTTCATTTTTGTCCTATTCACAACACTTAGGGCATGTTTCAAAATGTTCTGATTAAGTTGCTGTTAGCTTAAAATGAGAGATCATTTGACATCTACAGAGTACTTACGATATTTCTTCCTTTCAGCCCGCCATGATCGTTCTGACGATGAATGGAGTCTTCAAAGAAACCACGACGAATGGCAACCCAATTCGTTCCTTCCATAGGACGTTTGTTATCGTGCCCAACGCCGGCGGTGGATTCTGCATCATCAATGATATGCTCTTCATCACCAACACAACTAAGGAACAGGTGCGATTTTGTTGTGATTAATTCTCTTACATTATCAGGGATCTATTTTTTTTATAGCATAAGCCGGTAAACGAGCAGACGGATCACCTGATGGTAAGCAATCGGTGTCGCCCATGGACACCTGGAACACCAGAGGCATTACAAGTGCGTTACCGGCTTTTTGGTGATTAGGAGTTTGAAGATCGTTGGGGGTTCAGGGATTGGGGAAGGGGAGGGTAATTGGGCCTCCGGTAACCTCACTCACACGACGAAACAACGCTAGCGTTGCTTCACGTCGGTTTTCTGTGAGGCCGTGGTAGCACTCCGATCGAGCCGGCCCATTCGTGCCGAAGCATGGCTCTCCCTCACTTTATCTATAAAGATATTGAGGGAAAAGATAGAGATGGAAACCGGAAAATGCACTTGTGATAGATACCTTCAGTCTGGTGTAGAGGAGGCATTACTTAGGAAATAGTAGGAAATAATTTAGATTAAGAGAGTTTTTGTATTCGAGCGTTAGACTACGGTGACCCGTTACGATTTTCGTTGCCCGTTCAATGGTACTTCAATGTTGCTAATGATAGTAAAAATGCAGCAAAAGATCTTGCGCTTTATTCATATTCCAAGAGAGAGAAGTCGTGGTGGCCCGGAGGTTTAAGACGCCCACTTCTCATGCATGAGGGTGCGGGTTCGAAACCTACCAACGGCAAGTACCAATGTGACTTTTTCCGAGTTATATGTACTTTCTAAGATTATTTAGACACCACTGACAAACGGTGAAGGAAAAACATCGTGAGGAAACCTGGACTTATAATTTCTAATTATAAGTTTGAAATCGCCAACCCGCATTGAGCAAGCGTGGTGATTAATGCTCTAACCTTCTCCGTATGAGAAGAGGCTTTGCTCAGCAGTGGGCATTTATAGGCTGTTGATGATGAAGAGAGAGACAGAGATTACAATATTTTTTTCTTTAATCCAGGATGAGAAAGCATTTGTTAGTGGAGTTGCAGTGGAGCCGACTCCGCCCACTCCAGCGCCGACACCGACGCCCGCCATGGTACAGCCGTCACAGGACGAGACGCAGAAGATGATGCTTACCATGCTCAGCCAACAGACCGGCATGAACGACCACTGGAGTGTTAAGTAAGTTTCTAATTTTTTTAAAGTATATAAACTTGGAAGCAAAGATATGGTGCCACCAGTGTTGTTTTTTTGTTCATTTTATAGGACCCTCAGTTAACGAAAAAAGAAATCGTTTTCCAACAAAATGCTCTCATTTTAAAGCTAACTAAATTGCCTTTCATACGACATACGGTACCAATTAAAAAAAAAATTGTGTCAGAAACTATTTATCAAAAAATGAAAAAGAAAAAAATGCTGGTGTATCCGTTCCATTGCTCCCAAGTGTAAGGTACTACACAGTCATCTTGTTCCATACTTTGTGGATTGTTTTCTTTATAAGTCATACCATATTCAGACCTGAAACAATAATTTTGACATTAGACCATACAAAAGACAGAATGATGTGTGATAACTAAATATATCCTTATTTTACTTACAGTTGCTTAGAACAAACAGGATGGGACTTCCAACGAGCATTATTCGTGTTTAACCAACTAAATACAGAAGGCAAGATTCCTCCCGAAGCATTCGTCAAGTGAAGTACGGATAAACGGCTGTGTTAATTGTACATATTAGTTACGAAGAAAATAAACTTATTTTTTTAGTTAACACTATGACTTCTTGTCGCCTAGATTATCTAAATAAGTGATGGATTCTTTGTGCTCAGAATTTGGAGCATGTTTTAATACTGTGAAGTGCACAAGGATAATTTGAGAGATATAATCTTTACAAAATTGAAGAAAGGGTGTTGAATAAGAATGAAAGTGGTGCAGCAAAGAGAATTTATTGTTACTGCGGACGAAGGAAATATGTGCACAACTTAAGTGAAAATTAAAGCAATGGAGTATAAGAATAATAGTATTAAAATAATCAAGCTTCGTATAACTAATGGAATACATAATATCACGATTTTGAAGAAATATATTGAAAAATTTCTACTGAGACGTACATGCAGTATGGTCCAGTAAGATATAGAAGAAGATTCAATCGGAAACCTTTTAAATATTGAAGAAATGTATCATCCAATTTGGATGATCTGCATTTATACAATGGATAATTCTCACTAGGAGAAGTAAAATATACTTCATCAAATGTAACTGCCATTTTGATGACTCTTTCGAGATTTTCGTCTTTGAAAAGATGATTGCTTCAAGAAGATACACCGCGGGAGAAAGTTATTTTTATTTTATGTATGTGTCGTTTGTCCATTCAATGTTCATGTTCTATTCATTTGAAAAGATTTAAAAATGTTCCTAAAAAAGATATGATTTGCAAATTAATTGAAAGTTATGATTGTAAACGAGTGCTACAAATGTAATTATTATGTTTAAAAAGCTTAATATTTTTAGATAGTCGTGCTATGCGATTACAAAAAAGTAAAAAAAGTCATCGGTCGCCATTGTTGTAGTTCGCGCCAAATTATCGTTGTCGCCATCTTGATAGTATTTACGTATAGTTTTTGCTCATACATAGCACGGCAATCTTCCAAATAATTGGCTCTATCAACACAATTTTATGTTTTTCAAATTAGTTAAAGCTCTCTTCCATATTAACTTTGCCTTATAATAATTAGAAATTATATTTTCACGTGTAAGTAAAATGAGAATGCTATATTTGTAAATTCAGGCATCATACGACATCGATTCATTTCTACACCCCGATTTTGTATGGTGCCTATTTATTTTATATTCTTTTCTTTCTCAGTCTATTCCAGAGCTAATGGATATAATTTGCAAGTGCATACTTTATATTGTAAAAGAAAAAAAAAGATCATTTGTATTGCTTGCAGCTCTAACTAGCGAAGTATAAAAAATATCATATTAATATTCGAAATGATTTTGTTATTTGTAAATAGTCATTTTTTAATTTTAGTTAAATGTCGTTTGGGGTTTTTGTGGCCGCAGTGTTGGTGTGATAATGGCGATGTTCCTTAAAGATCGGCAGGTTTCTGGTGCTTGACGTGCAATGCTGGGTTTGTAAGAAACCAGATTGTTGTATTCACAGTGCAGTGGGCGATGGACCATGCATTACTGCGATGGAACCCCGGGATTTGTGTCTCAGTGGGCTAGTCGCAGAACTAGTGAAAAAGTTTTCATTGAATATATCAGATAGCACTTTTTTACTTGGCCGTGAAGTTTGTGGACTGCCGAAATCTTCCTGCGGCCCGGGCGGGGCTTAGGTCTAACTTAAGAGTTAACATTAAGACTGTTACTGAAGTAAATAAATCTTTCTTTTTTGGATTGTATTTTGTTTCTTATTTTATTCAATTGATATAGATCGACATACGGCAAAGTATTGTTACATCTAGGCGTGTGAAATGTAGGACAGTGATGCCATTAATAATAGTACATCGATTAAAATACACAAGGCGCAAACTTCTACAGATTTAAAAATTACGTAAAAACTACGCGATTGACGCCCCAATAGCATCACCTGGGAATCGGGAAATCCGGGAAAGCATGGGCGTAGCCACACTGGGGCAAGCTGGGGCACTTGCCCCACCCTGGGCCCTGGCTCTGACCCATAAGGTGTCTGAATAAACAATGTTTTTTTTTACTAACTCTAACAATCAACATCAACAATCATACAATCCGTAAGTTATAGCACAAAAAAATTTGTCGACTTTGAAAAGAGCGCGATCAAAACAAAATGCACGCTCGATTTCCCGAACGTGCGCGATGCGCACGTCATTTGAAAGCGAGCCGTATTCCCTAAAAGAATAGGTACTAAGTGGCGTTTTTTTTTAAGGTGGGAAAGTCATCGAATGACTGCTCCCGCCTAGGTGAGGCGGGAGGGAGTGTCAGACTCTTCAGACTCTTACTCGTTAGGTTCTCCGTGACTCCGAATCGGCATCGGCCTTGTTGGGCCCCATCTGTGGTGGTCTAATGGCTCTTTGAGGCGCGCGCGGAACGTGACGCGCTTTACGCATGGGTCTATTTCTGGTCGGATGGGGAGCCACCCATGCTCGCAGCCCGCAGGCCCGCGCTAGCGGTGGCCGGAGATCGTCCCGCGATCCCCGACGTCCTGTGTGTCCTTCGCGATGGCTGGTTTGCGAGGAGGCAGCGCTTTGCTGCTGCCTCACGCGTCCTGCTTGTGGCGTAGTGAGCCGAGCCGTCCATCACCGCGCGGTCACTCATCCCCGCCCGCGCCCCGCGAAGCGCAGACTAAAATCTTCTATGGCTCGTGGCGCGATTTGTATTGTTTGCTTGTTTTGTCCTCAATTCGACTGTAATTTTTTTTATGTTTGTTACTCGATTTTTCGAAGACGCCTGGACCGATTTCAAAAATTCTTTTTTTTGTTTGAAAGGGTAGGTTTGTCATTTGGTCCCATTGTCATGAAGTCAGGATCTGATGATTGAATCCCAGGGAAAACGAGAGGAACTTTTAAAAATTATAGGGGCGATTAGTGCGTTTGTTAATTTTTTCGTTGAGTATTTAAAACCACTACAATCTAATAAAGGTCTGGAGCTGATCTGATGATGGAGCCGATAGGCAGTCGAGGAAACTCCTCAACGGTTAACAGTAGCTACATTGTGTTTGGGTTTGATTAATTTGTATGGTATGTGATTGCCAATAAGGGTCTGATGATGAAGTTGTATCATAGTTGAGGGAACTCCTTAGCGGTTACCAGTAGCTATCTTGTGTTTTGTTTTATTTTTTGTAAATTAAGTGATACTTTCGAAAGCGAGGCTGAGATGTGGTATAATTTGTGGGAATAAAAAAATACGGACATTAATGCATTGAAGGAGATGGAACTGGTAGATATGATCAAAATTTCGGAAATGCTGAAAATTTCGGAATTGAAATTATGGATTTCACCGAAACCGATCTATCTATTGGGGACCTTCTTGCATATGCCACCCACATCTGGAGCGAGACCATCGAGAAACACGGGGAAGCGTTAGCTGTATCGCTCGATGTCTCGAAGGCCTTCGACAGGGTCTGTCACAATAGTCTTGTTGGCAAGCTTCACGCATATGGACTCCCCACTGGTTTGTGCAGATGGATAACAGACTTCCTGAGGATCGATCGATTCGACTGCTCATCCAATCCACATGGTATTAATGCCGGAGTTCCTCAGGGATGAGTACTCTCAGCAACACTTTTTTTGTTGCACATTAATGACCCAGCCCGGTATCTTTGGGAACGCAGATGACAGCACCGTTGTTGAGAGGTATGTGTCCGATGCGAGAACCAGTGCAACTCAAATCCAGTCTCAGAGAATCTATGGTAAATCGTCTAAACCTGTCCTTGCAGGCGGTCTCCGATTGGGGTGACGCCAATCTGGTCAGGTTCAATGCCAGCAAAACCCAAGCGTGTCTATTTTCCGCTAAACGGAGTCGGATCCCACTGACTCCTACTTTCCGAGGTGTGTCCGTTCCGATAGGTGACCGTCTTGAGCTTTTCGGTGTAACTCTGACGCCCACTCTCAATTTTGGCTCGTATATCGAGACAAAGGCGCAACTGCCTGGTAGAAAGTTGGGTGTCTTGTCGAGGGTGAGACGGTGCTTCACGCCGGAGCTCTTGCTCACTCTTTACCAAACACAAGTTCGGTTGTGTATAGAGTACTGCTCCCATCTTTGGGATGGCTCGGCGAAATACCAGTTAGAAGCCCTCGAATCCATCGAGAGGCGTGCCAAGAAGCTCATCAATGACGATTCGCTTGTGGAGGCTCGGCTACAAAGCCGCGAATACAGGCGCGAAATCGCAAGCCTTTCTTCGGTCTTCTATCGGATACATTTCGGTGAGTGTGCGTGGGAATTGCACAAACTTATTCCCCCTAGTGGCCTAGTCCATTTCACCACCGTACCACCAGATGAACAGCGGGGCGCTACCTTTATACGGTGGACATTCCACCCATTCGCACGAAGCGTTTCGCGTCAAGCTTCCTCATGCGAACCGCTAAGGAATGGAATTCCTTGCCAGAGGCTGTGTTTCCCGTCAAATATGACTTGGGTGTCTTCAAGTCCCGAGTGAACAGGTGGCTCATAGGTAGGCGTGCTCCATCGTCGGCCACATCATCGCTTACCATCAGGCGAGATGGTGGTCAAACGTCGACCTATAAAGTGTAAAAAAAAAATGCAATTTTATCCTAGTGTAAAAACCGCGCTCGCTATTTTGCTTGCCCAGCCCTGTACGACCTGTACAATAGAACGATCCTTTAGCACATTACGGTGGGTCAAAACGTGGCTTCAACCATGAGCGAAAATTGTTTAAGCGGCCTGTGTATGCTAAGTGTGCACAGAACAAGGGTCTCAGAATCGAAAAATAAATTTTTAGAAGAAGTGCTTAACAGGTTCTGCCAGAACACACGCCGTCTTCTCTTGAAGTAATATTACTCATACATAATATATACTTAGTTAAAACTTTAATTTATAAACACCGAGTATTCATAAATAAAACTATAAAATCTGTCCTGTGTGTGATTGTTTATTTTCTGTACCTGAAAATATAAACCTCTCAAATTAAGAGATTAACAAGTTTGAGATTAACGGCTCAAAGTACAAAAATCGGAGGGCCACCGCCCTCCCCCGGGGGA